ACAATTCAAAAACAAAATTAACAGGTTTATTTCCATGAAAATAAAGTAAATAATGGGACTTAGTATAAGCTTCTTTTCTATACAAAATATAATTTCTTAATTTTTTATTTTGAATTATTTTTCAAAAGTACTTGGACATATTTTTGATATTAACACATTAATATTAGTGGCTAAGCACCACTACTTACAGGGTAAGTACGAGGATCTGAGTAGTTCCAGCTGGGTGCCATAGTGCACACAATGTTGCCATCAGGGTCCATGTCGATGTCCCACCAGGATACGACCACCTGTGCTCTCCCACTGGTCTGGGCCTTGAACTGTGCCATGTAGGACTGAGCAGTGCTGCTAACCGGTTTGCTGAAATCCACACTAGAGTGGAAGAAAGATGAGTTACACAGAAGAAAAACCAGATGACTATGTTTTAATCTACAGAGCTAAATCACACCCAGACTTGTACCTGAACATAGTACAGATAGGCCCGAGGGGAGTGAAAGACTCTGGTGGCACCTGGCTAAGCTGGATGTCACAGACAGAGGGCGCTCCTGCACACTTCACCACAGCAGGAGGGGGCAGGAGTTTGTTCCCATCCACCTCTATGGGTTGGAGCTGTGACCATTTCCACAGCATGTCCGACTCCACCAGCTGGGCATAGATTGTTGCACGATGCGGCACAGCTTCACAACCTGCCTGTGCCAGCGAGAGCAGCTCCATTAAACACTTCAAAGATGCAGCAAAACGTTAAACTGCAATTTACAACTGTATTTACCTGGACGAGGTGCATGTGTGCATGTTCATAGCTGGGCAATGCTCCTTCACCGATCAGCTCTGTATCAAATAGCTCCGTGACAAGGATGTTAGCTCTTTCTTGCATGTCTCCATCTACAGATACAAATACATTTATATTTGCAAGAATGCAATGCAAGGTGATACAGATGATGGTGTTCATTACAGTATTTATGACACAAATTCAAGTTGATTTTCTCTATCTATCTATCTTTTTTATAATTTTACACGTATATCAAATATTAATATATATATATATATATATATATATATATAT